TACTTTGTCATGAAATTTGAAAAGTCAGCTTTTCTCATATAAATCACCAGTTACTCTCGCTCTACAAACTTTTCCATTAAGCATATTTAAGGAACTAAAATACTGAATAGCTTATTAAACTTAATACAAATATTTTAACTCAGAAAATGCTAGAAGGAAAAAAAAAATATTCTAGCAATAAGACGTAGATATTATAAAGTTTTGTATATTCAGAATACTTCCACTATAAAAGCAGCTGGAACATAGCATATATTTACTGAAACTGTAGCACAATAATGCGAAACATACAGGACATAGGCAACATCTGCCTTGCACAGTCCATTTATGCAGTTTGCACAACAGACAAACGGAGTAGGGAATACTTAGGGTTCTAGCTTCACTGGTTTCAGTGATAACCTTCAGAAGTAAATCAATGAATGCAAATTCACTTTTGTGTCTGAGCATGCTGAAAGCCTAAAACAAACTCAGAAGTACAAATTTTACAGGTCCCTACAAATCTCAGTAGATATTCATCTTATAGGTAAGGGACAGAATCCTTTCAGCATCTACATAAAGTATGTTACTGTCAATCTTTTAGAAGGAAGAACGTGAAAGTGTGGAAGTTCTTAAAGAATAGCAGAAACAGAGTGAAGACAGTACAGAGAATATAGATAGTAATAGAAAAACTAAGACAAAGAAGAGAAATTAAAGCAGAAAGGAGCCCATTTTCTTAATAAGAGATAGTGAATATGACACTGACACACAGAAAAGTAATAAAAGTTGACCTCCTAGGGTCAAAGAAGCACCTATGGCTACCCAAATGAGCTACCATTAACTTAAGAAAAAGATTGAATACAAGCTAAAGGGAGCATAAAATCTTGAATTGTGAATAAGAACTGAATTGTAAATTTCATTATTAGTGAGGAGTCTGAACTGTCAGCTAGCCACAGGCAGACAGACACACTAATGACGAATAGATAAATCAACAAGAAGCAAAAGCCAGGTCTGAACAGGAGAGACACTTCAGGAGGAGCTGGTATAGAAGCAAGTGTACACCCTCCCAGGATTTTGTCATCTGCAACAAGTCATTCAACTGCTGCAGCATGACTGCTTTCTTCTCTGAGTAGACACAAGCCACTTACCAATACACGTTTGTAAGCACATCGATAAAAACGCTCACTCACCTATGGGCAAGCAGGCACTTTACCTTCAGTCTCTTGTTACAGCATTCCTATCACCAGTGACCTACCCGGTAGGAATGTTAGTAACTGGCATTTAGGTAAAGGCAAGAGGGTGATAACATGGCAAAATACAGTGAAGAAGCCAGGAAACATGGCTTGATCAGTATTTAGCAGAAATATACATGCAGACTGATCCTACTGCAGCAGAGGATTTCACCTCTAGAAAACTAAGGTTTAGATAGTACAATGGATCAGTAATAACAATCATTAACTGTGCTGTCACTAAAAATAATCAGTAGTCATATACACTAGTATGACGTGGCACTTCAAAAAACACATACCTGTGTCTTTATATCAGACCAAAAAATATAAGAAAGTGAAAATTTCTAAACCTACTGCTTAAAAAAAAAATAATAAATCAATATTTAAGAATAGATCATCTACCCATTTATCAAAAAGCTCTTTTCAAAGAACCTATAAAGGATTTTTGTTAGCACCTGAGGAGCTCCTGTTCAGTGTCAGAAGAAAGCACAAGAGGAATGACACTGTCTAAGACTGTGCAGTACCTCTAAGAGAAATAAAAAGACATCCAAGGATAAACATGAACAGCTCCTAATAAAGAAGGACGAAAAGCTATAGAAACCCAGACACTTCAACTCTTGGCTTACTAGAGATGACCAAGTCATCCTATGGCTGCAACATCAAACTATGGGAGCACAGGCTGCAGGCAGGGGCATTTTAACCTTAACCACCGATCAGTATTCCAGTCAACAAACATAACTGCATCCAAGATGCGCCTCCTGATTCCCAATGCTGTCCATAGCAAAGCCTGTATAATCAAGTTACTGACCATTTTTTCACTACCTGGCACGTCCAGTTGAGACTGACGATGTCTGTATCATGAGTTCCATCGGGGTGATAAGCTCTGCTGTGCTACAAACACGCAACTGACGCACTTAGCAAAAAAAGTTTTCCAGTTTCAAAACAAGCTCAGTTCTTGCTTATCCGAGAGACCACCGAGAACGTAACGTTCACGCTGATGCCCGTGCTGTCGTCCACAGAGCTGCACGCTCCAGCGAGCTCCACGCTACAACACGCGTGTGGAAGCAGCGGGCCGCACGTGAGCAGCGCCCGGGCACTTCGCCTCCGTTAACCTCGCGCCGCACCGGCGACCACGGCGCTCTGCCGCTGCCGGCACCGCAGCCGGACGGGCGCCCGCCGAGCCCCCCCCCCCCTGCCCGCGGGGCCGCTCCGTGCCGGCCGCGGGGCCGGGGGGCGGCGCGGGCCCCGCCGGCCGAGACGGGGGGCTCGGAGCCAGGAGGCGCCGCTCTCAGCTCCGCAGAAAGTCCAGGGCGAAACGCGACGAGCGCTCGGCAAGGCGACCGCGGCCATACCCGAGGCCTTACGGCTCCAGAGCCCCTCCGCCCCCACCGCGGGCACCCGCCGGCCGCCGCCGCTTCCCCCTCGGCACGTCCGCCCGGCCGGGGGAAGCCGCCCCGCCCGCCGCCGCCCTGCCCCGCTCCTCACCTCGCCGCCGGCCCCGCGGGCGCGGCGCCGCTAACGGCAAACGCCGGAGCCGAGGCTGCTCCCGCCCGCGCCCCGCAACTTCCCCCCGACGCCCGCAGGCACGGACCGCGCCCGGCCCGCCCTCCGTGCCGCCAGGCGGCCGAGGAGGCGGGAGGGAGACGGCCGGCCGGGCCCAGGGGCCGCTCCCGCTGCCGCCGGCCCGGCTTCAACTCACCCGCAGAGGCTCCGCGTCCCGCTCCCGCCGCCGCCGAGCCCGGCCCCCCGCTACGGCCCCCGGCGGGGCGGACGGCGGCGCCTGTTGCTCCATCGCGCTCCGGCTCCTCCTCCGCCTCCTTTGGGGGCCGCCGCCGCCCCCCCCCCGCCGGGCCGATCCCGCCCCAGCCGCCCGGCCCGCGGCGCCACGTTCCGGGCCCCGACTCCGAGGGGAACCGCACTGTCCCCGGCCCCGCCCCCGGGGCTGGGCTCCGGCCGGACCCCGGACGCCCCCCGCCCGACGGCGCCAGGGGCCGCTCCGGCGCGTCCCCGGGCCGGACGTCCTGCGCCAGCCCCCGGCGGGAGCCCAGCCCGGCCCGGCCGAGGCCTCCCGCCCGGGGCGGGACACGCGGCTGCGGCCCGCTCCCGCTCCCGCTCCCGCTCGAGGCAGCCCGGGCCGCAACTCCGCCGGAGGCCCCGCGGAACGCAGGGCGAGCCCGGCCTCCCCCCGGGCCACGCAGGCCGAAGAAGAAAGGTAAGCAGGCAGGCAGCCCCGTCCGCTCACCCTACGAACGACTCCAGGCCCCCGTTCACAGAGAACGTCCGCTCAACGCTTTTTTACGGCCGCGAAGGCGGGGGACGACCTCGTAAAGGCGGCGGCAGCCTTAGCACCAAGGCTGTGTTTGATGGCGCTCCACGTCGTACCTCCAAACGTCCAGTACAGAGACTGGTCACTAACGGCATTGCTCTTACCAGGCACCGCTAGGTACATCCCTTGCCTTCTCATATTTATAGAACCAGTATCTAATCCAAAGCCTTCCAAACGCTGTAGACCCGTGCCTGTTGAAGTGAACAGGTAAAGAGTTTACACTGAAGATGCTGCAAATACGACCTGTACAAAGACCCTGGACTACCCTGCTCAGAAGGGGTGGGTGGGAATACTTCTTGACTAAGTGAAAACTTGATGCCACCTCTAGCACAGTGGAACTCAGTAACGGCTTTCACACAATTTCATGAAAAATGTAAGAGTCTGAAACTTCAAAGCTTTCTGCAGTAAAATGATGTCACATCGCCATAGGCTTAAAGGTTTGACTTCAAATGAGCAAGATGAAAATTAAGATTTCTTTGGAAAGCAGGTCTTAGGACCCAGGGAAAAGATCCAAGCAAAACAATTAAAAATAATAAAAATAATCTAACCAGTGGGATGGAATATATGGAGGAATCAATTTTAGAAATTTCAGATTTCTAGCTGAATACAGATTACAGTTAACTCACTGTGTAGAGTAGCTAGAGGATTATCTTCTGGTCTGTAATGATGCAGGTCTTCTTAAACTCATTGGTAGCCAAGCTCCAAATGTATTTGCTTTTACAGTATACCAGACCTAGACCAAACATATTGAGTCCTTCATCGCCATTTTACCTAGCAAATGGAACTATTCCCTTTTACTAGCAACAGTAAGTACCACAACACTTTCAGAATGTGCAATCAGTCATACATGTGCGGAAAGTTAATTCACTGGGAGACAGTTGAAACAAGAGAAGTGCATGTCTCTGTGCATCTGGATTGGATCCGATTGAATTTTCACCTGGATGCCCATGGGTGTTCCTCCACCTGGCTCATTAATAAAAACAGAAGTGCACAAGAACTGCCATCCTACCATTAAAAATGACCAATAACAAATATCTCAAAACCACAAAATCTCGCACAAAAGGGAAAACTCGCCTCATGAAAAATCTTAATTCATACTTGACAGTGTTTTATTTTGAAATGAATTAGGCTTTATTCTTTCCTAATCCATGTACATTAAATGCCTCTAATCATAAAACGCATGTTTTAGGACAAAGTTATTAAATTATTCCCTCATGAAATTAATGAGAGATTACTGAATTATATGATGAAATTATATGATTAAATTATTGAATTATATGATTAAATTAATATGATGAATAGTATAATGAAATTAATATCCTTTGTCAATAGGCACACAGTCTGAAACCTTTTTCACTTCATAGAAGAAAATTAAAGATTTTCTCTCTGTCCGATTCATTGTTCTTCTCTTGCAGGAACTTATCAAATAATGTAAGGAAGATGGATATCATATGTCCTCTTATTCAGTCCATCCTAAGATAAATAAACATAATAATATATTTTTCAAGAAACTGGGTAGCAAGTACATGCAGATGATAACCTTCGCTTTGAAAGCCTAACAACCACTTCACAGAACAGAATGCCGTTGAATCTGTCAGCCCGGTATTTAGCTTTATCTAACTTCCAGAGACCCTCAATCTCCATCAGTAGTTTTACATCAAAACAGAGTAAGATATGACAAAATGAATCCCTAATGGTTTTCAGGACAGATGCATGGAAAAAAATGTTATAGCACATATAGTCATAGTAAGGAATACAATTATTCTACTTACAGTCCTTCTCATAGTGAATTTCTTATTTATAAGTTCCCTGAGAAGTTTGTGAGCAGCATTTTGTATCAAGTAATACTATGGCTAAGGCAAAACCTCAGACTTATTATTCCTGTTTCATCTGTGAGGACTAAGCATTATCTTCACACCTAAGCTAGATATTTGAACAGAAGAATATAAGAGTATATGTAGTAATGAAACTAGCCTAAGTTTTTTCCTTACTTTGTTCAAGAAACATACAAATTTTTCTGATACATGCTTTGAATCAGACAGCTAGATGAACTGGAGATGACTGTGTAAATTCTCATGCACACACAGTAATCACTTCAGTCTTACAAAGTTACTTTTATTTATTAATTGCATTTTCAATAGTTATTCAATCAATAAGATTTATTAAAAATAAAAATTCTGCTTTCCATAAAATAAAGCAATAGTTAAGTCACTTTTTTCACCTCATTTTCTGAAATGATGTAGAAGCAACAGCACGCTTAGGTGAGATAGAGTCATCTTCATTTTCATGCAGACGCTTTCTCGTTGTGGCCGACTAAAAGAAAAATGCAGCAGGATGGCTACATTAATCAGGTAAGACAGAGTCCGACTGTTGTATCTGCTACATAATTACAGATGCTGGATAAAATCTCCCTCCTGTAGCCAAAACAGCAGCAAGACTAAATGTTTCTCTACAATGATCTAATATGTGATCTTTCTCACATAAGACACTGACCTTATTCTATTTCCTGCCTCGACTGCCCCCAAATTTACCTTTAACTACTATTTAAAACAGTGCTAATTAGTGTCTTGTAACAAATGTTACAATACCATTTCTAAGCTTTCATTAACATGAGAATTTTTCTTTGAATATTAAATGTTCATAAATTGAATCCATCAAAATATACATGTTCATGTGTTTAATTTTAAATATACAAATAATCCTTTACAGCTTAAGATACTGTTCTTTCAATTCAAAGTATTTTGCCAAAGCACAAAAGTCAGTTGCTTCTATTCAGAAAGCAAGTGAGACAATTAGCAGACCACTACATAAAGTCAAAATGCACACCTCTGTAGTAAGTTCTCCATTTTTTCTGTTTTTCTTATTACAGATTACTTTCAAATCTAGTTTCTCTATGCATCAGGTATTAATCTTCAAATAATCTGTTGTACATACCATTTTTGATGTTTGCGGTGGATTCATAGTGGCATTTGTCTGAGCAAGTAGCTGTTGAAATGTATTCTTCATATTCTCATCCTGCGGAAAAAAATAAGCAGTAAACCTAAGTAATATATGGAATATTTAAGGTGGATCAGCAATTAAGGGATGAATGAATAAGTAATGAAAACAAGAGAGTAACTTTTTTCCTCATCATTTAAAAATAATAATCATCATATAGTGCTAGGAGAAAGGATCTGTAATGACAGTCCCAGATTACTACAAAAACATTGCAACAGTGTTGTGTCAATTCCTCCGGTATTCTAAGGTTTCAGACAAAAGTCTGATCAAAAGCAAGTGATGACTATCCTAAATTGAACACAAATGTGATATAGAATGAAGTAACACTAATTTTGCAGCAATTACATTATGTATGATCAGGACACTGGTCGTTTGAAACATCAGCTTTATTACCCAAGTAAAACTTGGAACGTGCAATTTCTAGAAAAGATGTTCTACCCAAGAGGAATTCTCAAGAATAAACACTCTCAAGGACCTTCAATAGTTACTATCAAACTTTGATCCAACCTCCCCTCCTCCCTCCCACTTCCCCAAAATAAACATCATCCTAACTTGCCCCAGAGTACCATTTTGAACAGGTGGTTTACATACAGTGCTGGTAAGAAAAAAAATAGTTCTGTAGTTCTACAAAGAAGTAGTTTCCCTTAGTAACTACTTAGCTAATACTAGTCAAGCTAAAACTGAACATACAATGTCATTCAATGAAGTGTAACAACACTGAAAGAATAGAATGTACAGGCTAGGAGTTTGTGCAGGTAATTTACTAGTCAGCCTTATCAAAAGAGGCTTTTATCAGGACTTGAGACCTTGCTTTCCCCGAAACCAAGTTCCTTGCTCTTGAAAAACAAGAATTTTGCCTATAGTCTTACATGCTGTTCTCATGACAATTTCCCTTTCTAACACAGTATTTTCATTTCCACCAGCTTAGCATCATCGGTATTTTGGATTTGGGTAGTTTTTAACCACATCTGAACCTCCACTCCTCCGAAAAAAAGTTGTATACACTAAGAGAAGAACCAGCTAAAATACCCATACTAAAACAACAACTTTCAAACAAAACGTTACATTAGAAGCACTCCACTGTCACCTCTACCCTAAGTCCATATAACATATTAAATGTTGCAAATGGAAAGTTTCACTTTTAAAAATCAAAATTGTTACTGTCAACTGTTACATTATTCATAGAGCATACGTATTGCTACACCGTTCCCTATTGTGACAAGTTCACTAGACAATACAGTTTATTTACCAGAAGTGGTAAACCAGCAGCTGCTGTTTGGGGAGGGCAAGTGGGAGATGCACTTGGAGCGAAGTAGACTCAGGGATGTCATTAGTCTCACTTGTGCATGAACAGGTCTGACTGCAGAAGCATTAAGGGGAAGAAAGGACAGCATGAGGTAAAGAAGGCTATCACAAATCATTTCTTAAGTTAGTTTAGCGGAAAGTCAGATGTATTTCAAGAGGAAAAGGCAGCATATAGATTCATTCTGGTTCAGCAGCCAGTGACCAGAGGTGTTCTTAGTCTGTGTTGGGCAACCTCAGGGAAACAGGAAATCGGTGGAAAAAAAAAAAAAGACTTTTATTTGACATTGTATACTCCCTGCTCTAAAAATAAAGTCTCATTCTCTGGTTTCAGCAATTTCTCCAGCAGGAATTTTATTTGAATGGTTACTATGGATTACCTGCAAACCCTAAATCAGACTTCCAAAGCTGAATCAGGTCTTGAAACCTTTCCTGGGACTAAATGAAGTAAGCTGCTCATAGTCATATAATACAGATCATTTCCTGTGGCTGAGCTTTTGAACAGTGACTGTAGGTTCACCAGCTGAACAACTGATCTGGAACCAAAAACAGACATTTATTCTAAATGACTGACTGAAGATAAAAGGTGTTATAACTTTGTCCCATAATGACAGCAAAGACTGGGGGACTCAAAGAGAAGTGAATGGGATGTTCACTGGTAGAGGCACAATTAGAAATAAGGAACATCTAGCTTCTAAGGGTTTCAAAAATTTTAACCATTTTTTGGGTGGAAGGAAAGAATGGAGGTGGATTCTTATTCTAGTCTATGGAGTATTGCAATATCTCCTTTTTTGGTTCAATTACATTCTTAAGCAGTACAGAAGGATTTTGATGTGAACATCCAATTTATTCTACACCGAATTTGGACTTACCTATTTTCAGTGTCACGTTTTGACTGTGGCTACCTCTGAGTTGATAGTCAAGATATTTTTTTCACTTACACAACAAACACCTGAGCTTTTTTTCAGCAAACAACCAAAATAATCTTGAACCTTTCACAAGATTGCAGTAACACAGAGGCAGACACAGCAATTAATTGATTGTATGCCTTTCAAGTATGTTTTATTAAGAAGTACCTACTTGGTTGACATGGACTTCAGTGAAGTTATAGCTGGGACCTCAGATGACTCATGTAAATACAGGTAAAATATATCCACTGAATAGTACTCAGGTTTAAGTGGCCCACTAAGTTTTAAAGTTTTAGGTTTAAATGAAGAATGGAGTAAACAGCACAGGTATTAAAACACTAATTTGAAAACAGTACTGGTTTAAATAGAGCTGTAGAAATGATGTTTTGTTTTGAGAACATGCATACTTATCACAGAATCACAGAATTGAAGGCGTTGGAAGGGACAAAGATCATTGGGTCCAACCCATGGGTCCAAGTTATAATATCTGAAAAATTCTCTAGTGGACCCCAAATCACTAGAGGAGGCTAATATGCATTAGCTGCACACAAAGCATGAATCTTGTGGATTTTTTTCACACTTCATAAGACAATACTTACAGACAACACAAGAGGGAGTGGGGAGCCAGTAGCTCCTTCTTACTAATTGCAGTAACAGGATGTAAGCAGCTTTTTTGGTGGTAGTATTCAAGGTGTGTGATATGTAGAACTGAACATATTGAATGTTGGCCTTCCAAGCAGGCAGTGTACATTACCTATAAATAACTGATAGTAAGGGATCATGAAGGGAAACAGCTTAAAGAATGGCATTTGAATGCTGGATGACAATTGGATTTGTGAGTATGATGTCTTATAAAATTTTTTGTCCTGTCTTCAAAAATCAAACATAGCAGCAAGAGCTGCCCCTAAAGGGAATATATAGTCAAGATGCTAAGTTTATATATCTCAGTCTTAACTCATCAAAATCACTATCATATTTCCCCTTCCCCATTATGCATATCAGTGATTCTTAAAATAAGCATAGCATTGTTTAACAATAATCTACCCTGCTCAGAATCATAATCAAAATGTAAGAACCTACAGTCGATTGACCCACTGTAGAAGTTACACACAAAATTACAGTAGTAAAATCCAGGAATGACAAGAACTATTTCCTGATGCCCAGCAGTATAATTAGGACAAGTTAATGACTTTCAAACATTTGTCAAACAATTGCATTTTTTGTCTCAGTAAACTGCCAGCTGTTGATTTCTGAGCAATACTCCCTTGCTATAGAAAGCATACCATGCTATAAAAGCAGCAATAGGAGGGGGTTAAGAGCTAACAAAGGCTTTGCCAGGGACAGCAGCCAAGAAAACAAGCACAGCGAAAGACTGAAGGGGAGCTAGCTGCCATTGCAAGAAGAAAAAAAAAAAAGAGAACAGGAAGAGAGGAAAATCTTTGTGGTGCAGAGAACATTTGTTGAGAGAGCAAAGAAGCAAATTTGCTCTGTACACTGCAAAAAAGTCTTACAGCAAGACATACAGCAAGGTACTGCATGATCACCTTGCTTACAGCTGATAAACACTGCAGCAGTCTGTTCAAGATGCTTACTCTGGTTTGAAGTTGTTCACCTGGCAATTTGTGGCTATGGTATCTGGGCTAATGTCATCCTACAAGCTGGGATCTGATGGCTCCTCTTCCTATGTGTCATTCACAATGCCAGTGAAACAAAGAATTCACAGACAAACAGCCTTTTGTTCCCCTCTTCTCTGTCTGAAAGTAGGCAGCAGAATCCCTCTGGTCTTAATACAGCCTGCAGAAACAGTATAGTCAGCTGGCCCGCAGGCAGCAGCGCCTGCCCATAAGAAGCACCAAGTGACAGTTGCTCCTCTGCTGGCTACTGTCAGGGACAGCCTACAGACAGGTGGAATGAAGCTCTAACTTAAGGTAACAGTTGTTATTCCCAAGAAGCTACAGAACTGAAGCTCTTATTGCCCATCACTGTATCCCTGTTATGGTATTTGCCTAAGACACAAGGATCAGGTATGCATAGATCTCTGGTGACCAGAGTAGTCACAGTTTGCCTGCTTCCTTAAAGAAGCAAATTACACAGTATTAACAAAACCTCATAAAATTCAGGCTACTGAACTGCCTTTGAATTTACATCAAGGAGTTATCCCTGTAACAAGCCAGCCTTGCTGTACTTTGGTTAAGAGTCTATTCCTACCTGAAGCCAAGGATGGTCTAAGGCTTCCTCTATTGTAGCACGTTTGCTCGGATCCACTACTAACAGCTTCTTCACAAGATCTAGAGCTAAGATGAAAAAAACAAAACAAAACAAAAAACAAACAAAAAAACAGTTGGTTGATACACAATCAGTAAATTCATTATCTGAAACTAAGTTACACAAGGTGCATGCTCCAAAACTACGTGCAGCAGCATGTTTAATAACACTTGATAGCTGTGCCCAGAAGACTGGCTAAGTAGGTCACTTTTCTTCTTTCTATGCCCAGAGAGCACTGAAGACTAACCATTTTTCCTTTACATGCACAGGATTCAACACATATACCAAATTGCCAAAATTACTCGTACATTTACTGAACATGTCCAGCATTTATGTTCTGTGCAGGCATAGGTAGATCAGCACTTTCCTAAATATGGACATGCAAAAATAGCTTAATTTAGTTTCCTGTTACCAGAGAAATAACAACAGTTTATGGTGTCTTGGAAAGCAGATCATCCATCTGAGATGAGAAAGAAGAGACAAGATATATGCATGTATGCTCAACTTGATCATATAAACTTTACTGTCTTCTGAAACTGCTTAATAAACACTGTGAAAAATAGAATACTTAAGACATATTTAATGACTCCTAATCTTCCATAAAGGAATTTTAGCAAGATTTACTTTTCGTTGTATCTGATTATTCTGTTACATGCATAATTGGGACTATGTATGACCATAACATAATTTCCATTCCCATATATGTCTGACATATTATTGAATAAGCTTCAGGTAATTTAGGAAGGAGTTATATTTGGCAAGTTTATTAGAAATAGAATGATCATACCAGTTATGAGAAACTCTTCTGCATACACAAAGTAGTACTTAAGGCAAATAGTGCAATTATTTTGTGCATATTAAAATGTCCTGAAGAAAAACATGCAGATAGTAACCACCATTTTAGCTTATTGTGCAAAAAAAAAAATAATAAAAAAAAAAAGGCAGACTACTTAGTTTAGAGTGGACCAAATAGTTGACTCCACAATTGTGATTGATACTTGATGGTGCTGGTCTTTGTGATCCAGGCTTAAAATTCCACTTAGTTTTTCTCTTTTGGAATTCTAATTCATACATATCCCTTAAATTCCTATTATTTTTGGTTCAACACTTGAAGAATCTTTGAGGCAAAGATCTGTTGACCAGCTTGATAAAGTTAGAAGAAAAAGTGAAAAAAAATGAAAAACAGACCTATGTGCTTAAAACTTCTATATTTTTGGAGTTAATAATGCTAAATATTACTACAAAAGGTACTGGTGGGTAGCATCTCTTCAAGGAAAATGTAATTGTTTGTTGTAATGGTCCAACTTTGAAAAAAAATGTATTAAGAGCCTACTTAAGAAATGTAAATATATCAACATGCAACATATCACAGAGGTGAAAAGAAGTTCAAAGAAAACAAACAAATATGGCAAAAGAGCTAGATATTCTGCTACCTATTGTAATGGAGTCATACCCATGCCTGATACATGTTTCCATTCTTTTGAAATGAATGTGTATTCTCCACGAGTGATTTGATCTTTCAGAGATAGTTGAGTGTTTTGCTCATTAAATGGTGGATATCCACACAAGCTATATATAAAAAAAAAAAAAAGAAAATAAATTAAGTAACACAGTTTTTGTCACAGTGAATGCAAAACTAGTCACACATTTTAAAACATCCGCTATCGCAGTGTCTTTTACGTGTATACATTTTTAAACACACTTTCACTTCCTACTAAATATACTGAAGTTGCCAAGTCTTGAGCCATGTATGTCACTGACTGCCCAATGAATGTAGCATCTCTGCAATATCTTACCATACAAAAAGAATAACTCCTAAGCTCCAACAGTCCACAGCTCGGCTGTATCCAGCAGTCCCAAGTGAATTTAGAACCTCAGGAGCAAGATACGTGGGAGTACCACATAATGTTTTCATAAGAGAAGTTTCTCCAAGAATCTTGGATTGTCCAAAATCTGTAATCTTGTATTTAGAAACAGTAACACCACATATTAGGATTGATTGTACTAGAACATATCATATTGTCAGTATACAGCAGGAGGTAACATTAAAGAATATCATGAAAAGTGTAGATGAAACAAATGGCTTTATAGAATCATCTAGGGTGGAAAAGACCTTCAAGATCACCTAGTCTATCAGCTTGACCTACTAAGTCCCATCACTAAGCCATACCGCAATCTCACTGGATTGTTCTTGATCCATACAAAAAATATGGCAAAGCCAATTCTCTTATTTTCTCCAAAATAATTCTCCATTATTTTGATATCCATGTACGATCCAGTGGTGTAACTTCACTGACTACAGGAAAAGCTCACTAGAAAATACAGGCAAACTGTAACTGTGTTCTCTAAGACTGCAGTTGCCAGTTCTTAGTCACTTGCAGCAGCTCTTGTTTTCTCAAGCATTAAGTTTCCTGTTTTCAAAGCACAGTTCCAGCACAACTACAAACAAAATTTACCCCAAACATTACTAAAATGTCAGTTAACAACAACTTAGAAGATGAGTAGGGAGAAATATAGAAGAGGATCAGACTTCACCCTAGCAAAAAGCATTCTCAAATGTGGATGTTAATGGGCAATCTGAGAACAGAAGTATTCTCACTTATTAGATGACACTACTTGAGGACTAAGCATTTCAACAAGAAAATCTGCTCAATGTTTTATATGAAAAAATATATTTCCTTCAAAAAACAGCCTGGATATTTGTGGAAATGCTGTCTGAAATTCATATTTATTATTTTTAACAATGTAGCCACATTTAAAGTTGTACTCAATTAAGTGCTGTACAAGGTATTAAGCATAAAATTTCTCAATTGTTCTTAGATGTATGGATTGAACTATCCACAAGAGTAAAATTAAGCATATGAAAAGCATGAAAGTTTTAGGTTACTTCACAGCTTGTATGAGTAATTATAGTTTTTTTGAGTTACATTGTGAGAAAGAGTACTTCCATTCTTCTCCTTGAGCAACTACAAATTTAAGTTCCCTTACCTTTATCAGACATGTCTCTTCAGAAGATGAGAGTAACACATTCTCTGGCTTTAGATCTCGGTGTATAATTCCATTGTCATGAAGATACTAGATATAGGAAGAAAAAGAGACATCTTTTTTAAAACGTAAGCTTTCCAATTTTTCAAATAGCAGTGGCAGGATAAGTGAAATGATTGTTAAGAGACATGTACACATTTAAACCTACAAAACTCATGACTTTTTAAAAGCCAAAAAAAGCAACTTAGAAACAATTATGCTTCAATTGTCAATCCACATGCAAGCAGTGTGTGTAAAACTGAAAAGCTGTTAAATCCTTCCCACTCACAGAAAAGCTATACTTCTTTCCTCATGGCAGTAAAACAAGAGAACTAATGACAGGCAAAATTCTGTGTTGCAGAAATTCTGGTTTTCCATCTCTCTCTCTTCCTTCTCTTAGTCATTATTATTGCACAATCATATTCTCATAAATTCAAGTCCACATTTTGGTCTGCAAAGACAATTAAGATTTCCATGCTACAACAACCCTTACAATTTTGAGTAATAGTAGGCAAATTTAACAAACACCTTAGTTGTCAAAGAGCTGCAGGCTGAAAAAGAGTTCAAAAACTTGGTGATACAACTAGGAAAAATGAATAAGGAGGTGATATAAAGCTGAAGTTAGGTTAAATTATAAAGAATTTTGAAAAAAGTTGCTTCCTTGTGGCAAATGCAGAATTGCTTTCTTATCTGTAGTTTTGAAGCCTACATGCAAAGTCTACTATCTAGTTTTCTACTGGCTCTAAATCTGAGAACAAACTTCTCGTTTCATTAGGAGAGCATTTGATGGCAAGCAAGAATTAAAGTTCAGTCATAAAAGACATATTATGATACAACAAAATCTGTGCTAAAGCTAGAAACAACTAGTAGTTCAAAATATGTGCTAGTGAAGTCTTTGCATTTACATTGAAGCGATGTATAAAGTAACGATACCACTTTTATTACATGACCTGCTGTCCCAAAAGCGGAGAGGTACACCAGCCTTCTGATCATTTTCATGGCCCTCCTCTAAATTCATGAATTTAGAAGCTTATGTAGCAACTCAATATTTAGTCTTTGAAAATCTATTATATAGAATTAATTTGTTGTCTGCTGAACCACAATGCTCATTCAGGAGTTCATAGTAAGCATCTAAGCACTACTTTTTGCACTGCACTGATGAGTCTTTGCCCATACACTGTGAGAAATCTAACATGATAATCCTGCCATTAGTGAGCACAGCATGTATTACTGCTTTAATCCCTGTTTTGTGTTTGCTTGTTTTTAAATAAGTAAAAGAGTGTAAACCTATTTGGCTGTATTGAGGTACAGAATCTCATTAAACTAAAATATTAAGAGTACTGTGTTGATTAATTGTGCAGGTTTCAGAAGTGACAAATGACAGAAAAAATCACCTGACTGACATGCAAATGCATAACCATATTTTTCTTGGTAGAATTCATATTATGTACCTTCACAGCCAGTAGCATCTGATAAAAATACAATTTGCAGGTAGCTTCTTTCATCTTGATTGGCCTTGACACTCTGTCATATAATTCTCCTCCTTCCATCCTAAAACAGATGTAGGTAACATGTCAATATATTACTTCCAAAAGATTAATGTTAGGAGCAGGATTCTTGTTAGACAAGAATGAGACCAAAATAATTTCATTTGGCTATTTTGGCTACAAAGAAAGAATATATTTCAGTTCTGAAAATGAATGAGCAATGCCCTAAACACAGTACGTGCATTGCTGACTAAGGCCTAATCTTCTGAGTCTTCACTACTAAGAGTTCTAAGATTTTTTGATCTACCTTTTAATTATGAGCTCAAAATCAAATCAGCAGCAATCCACAATAGCAGTACAGTGGGTTACTATCCAAGGCACTAAGTGTTTTCAAAATATAAAAGGATCTTCTCCTGGTTATCCTAGTTTCTGATTTTAAGAGGTTTCAGATAACAGAACAGAATGGAAGGGGACAACAACAATAACAAAACACAAAAAATCCAGAACTATTTATGCTCTTTTTGGTTATGAAAAACATGTCATGCATTTAGTTTCACATCAGTTACTTACAATTCCAAAACAATGTAGTAATCCTCTGCTTCAAAGAAGTTTTTGATCTTGATTAAGCAAGGCTAATAAAAAACAAAAACAAAAACACAGAAGTAGAACCACTTGTAAAAACTAACTTTATTAACAGTGTATCATCTTAAATTTCCTATTTTAATATAATTTCAACCATGCTAGTTACATTAACACTTATGTAACTGACTAATGCATCAGGCTTTGGCAAACACTTAAATTCAAGTCTGTTGTCTTCTCCCCTATACCTGCACATATAAAAACATCCAATTCTTGTCATGACTACATGTACAACTCAGCAAGCATCCTTATTTTTTCCAGTTGTCACTTTCCATAACCCCAATATTTTCTTTATATGGGATAGTTCATTAATCTATGCAAGCTTTCTCTTTAACTAAAGGTAAGGAAAATCCTTTTTTGGGGAAAGGCTGTGGGGGGAAATAAAGAGGGGAAAGTGGATAAAAATCCAAAAACTTGCCAGTGGAATCTGATCTTTATATTTGGTTATCTAACGATATTTACAAAACCTGAATCAAGGAAAAATTTCTTCTACAACTATGGTTCAGTTTGAAACCTCCTCTGTGAAATTTCTTCCCAAATTTATGTCTGTTACTCAAGTTTTTAAAACCTTGTATCTGTTAAGACATAGCATACTTAAAAGAAGGGAAAAAAGTGTTTATTTACTGCAGTAATTATACGCATCCCTTTGTATATTTCCTAACACATAAAATTGATCTTTAATTACTACACTAGGTCAGCGAAGCACAGAAGCGCAGTATGCAGCAAAAAGGAGTAAAAATGTACAGTAATACTCACATGATCTATTTTCTTCAATATTTCAATTTCTGTGTTGATATTAAAAGCTGGATTCTATTAAAAAAAAATCAAACATCAAAGAGTAGCACAGCAATATTCTGGGAAAAAACACTTCAGAAATGAGAGACAGTACCAGAAAAGCCATCATTTCATTTCCCTTGCAATTTTAATGAATATAACATACAATCTTTTTCAAAACCTGATTAGGTGCCTTCTGTGAATTAACTGAATAGACTGCTTTTATTATTTGTAGAAAGATATTGCTCTGGACATGTCATTTCACTGCAGGTTAGAAATCTTCACCTAAGTTCCAACCTAAAAATTTTGGCCAGCATATTGCAATACTGTCCTTTTAACAGCTTCCCTCCCTCTAAGATGCTTCCCATGTGGGCTACCCCTAAAACTAAATACTACTCAAACTTAGTCTTTAGCAAGAAAAAAAAAAAACAGTATCTTTTAATCTCTCTGTGTGGCTTAGGCTCAACTCATGAAAGCAACCCAGCAGGCTTTTTTATTCTTCTTCCAAAACAGATCAATAGTTTCTGAATACACATTACCAAATCTGTATACATTACAGATGCAGTCCTCTCTCTGTTTTGGACAATGACATTTCTTAGCAAATATAACTCATAACAGCATATCTTAAACTTCATTTTAAATTTTCCAAAATTTAAATGTTTAAAATTTAAAATGTTCCAAAATTACATTTTGCAATTTTCAATCAGATTAACGTCATAAATTCATCTGAAAATAACTCTACTTCTTCATATGAACCAACACAAATGTAGATGATAGAAATTGTCACTGATCTTGTACTTAATCTTGCACTACTAAACGTTTAACTCCCACTACTCCAGCATACAGAAGTTTCTGTTCTTCATACATGATACTGCCATCTTCCTTTCTGTCAGCGTAGATTGAGTCAGTGGCAAAGAGCTGAATTACCATATTCCCACTATTTGTGGCATCATTTGTACATCTCCAAACGTAGTAGTAAGGAAGACTAACCTCAAGACAAATCCTCTGAACTTCCATCAGTAACTTCTCTTCCATCCTGTAATTCTGCTCCTAGTAAAGCCTCATAGCACCCTTTCCTCAGCAAGACACCCTCCCACCTTAGTATTTTTGTCCTTGCAGAAGTATTTTCCAAATTAAGTAGTAGTTCCCTTTACTGCACCCTATGAAATGCTTTGTCAGTTTGAACAGATTCCATATATTGTATCTGTACACTCTTTTCTCAAAGAAATTCATTTGGTTACTCCAACCTATTTTAACTTATGTAAGTTGTGCAGCTGTGGGTTTATTAAACTTTTCCAATCACTTTCAACCTCTAATTGTATTTTTTTCTTAAAAGTTCATCTTATACCCCTTACATAAAATTAACATTAGAGTAATAGATTTGAAGTTGCTCAGATCTCTCTCTCATGTTAGAGTACAGCCACTTGGCTTGTTCTGAAGTCTCAGGCTTCTGCTGTAAGACTAGACACATGAAAAGCCTTTCCCAAAAGGCTTCATACAATTTTATTGAAGAGTGTTATGATGGAATATGCAACAAAATTAGCAGAGCTTATAAATCTTTGGTCAGACTGCACTAACAATGTAACTTTCTGGTATATTTTGGGACATACACCCCACGGGACTCCCCCCTACACACACACTTTGTGATACCACATTAACAAGCAGTCCTGAAATAATGAAATGTGGTCAAAGAATAAGAACAAGTATTTTCTAGGGTACTGTATATATTCTGTAAGATCAAAAGACATTTGGAAATTATACACAGAAGACGTTAAGTCAGAAAATCCTCTAATTGAAGAAAGGATTCAGACAGAGGGAGTCAGAGAGAAAGGTTACCAAGTATTCCAAGCCCACTGCAAGATGGCCAAAAGACAGAAAAATAAATACTTACTGCCTCTCTAATACCACTTGCCATAAACTTCCGTTTATTGATTATCTTTACTGCAACTTTGTTACAAGTGCTCTTCTCAAATGCCAGTTTGACTTCTCCACAGGCACCACTACCATGAAAGCACAGCTATGTTAATCCTTACAAATACAATTCAAAACTGACATAACAAGTATAAACAAATTAAATGAAAGCATTTGCCTAAAGAAAGCTACACACAATTGGGGGCTGTTACTTTCCAACTTTCTGAATATTACAGGTTGTCCAAAACTATCTCAGAAAGCATTCAATAGTTAAGAAGTATATTTAAGGACTGAGTGATGTCAAGGGTCCTATTCAAATACACGGGAGTAAATACATACAGCAAATGATCTGTTTGTACAAAGGGTACCAATGAATATCAAACAGAAGCTGTGACAGCATTTCCCCCACACAAATGTAGAACTTAATGAGAGTTCTCTCCAAACAGGACTGCACAAATCTGAAAAACAGGTACTTTTTATTTTTAATAAGCAGCAGTTTTATCACTGAAAGAAATCCTTGTATTTTGCACTCAGATTTGTTTCCATTTAACTGTTCTCTTATGAATTCTTCACCAGTGGCCAAAACAAAGATTTGTCAACATCTAAAATAGCCTTTCCTTTTTCCTGAAAATAGCCTTTGTCGTTAGCCTGAAGACTCCAACAGTGATGTTGTAGAAGGCTATATTTGGACATAGAGCTCTTTCTCCTACTTCCTATTACTGATAACATGAATACACAAATTAAAAAACTTGCTAACAATCTACAAACTTGGATCTCTTCTAAAGAAAAACTTGGGTTTCACGATTACTAGCAGGTTGTAAACCCAAGCCAACTAGAGGAGTAAAGCCAAAATCCTCATTTAAGCTGTTGTATAGAACAGGTTTACGCAGATGTTATCATACTTTTCTTTTTATTATTATTTGAAACTTGTTTAATTGTTTAACAGATGAAATAGAGCTATAATCCAGTGAAAGGATTTTGCTTTTATGGTCTAAATTTGAAAGAATGGTGTGCTATAATTGGGGAAGAAATAAAGGAACAGTTTATCACATTTCAGATTTATTGTCGCTACTACTACTTGGCCTTTAACGAAATAATTCCTTCTACTTCTATCAATGATGTTAAATATAAAACCAAAGGTAATTTTGTAGAATTTTTGAAAGAACTAAATTTAAGAAATGCTGTACCTAAAAGCAAACAGTAGATAAAGCAAGAGACATAACAGCATATTTTAATATAGTGTTTTAAAGTAACTATTAAGATGCTCATCATTAACACTTGTTATTCCAGTATTCTTCTGAAAAAACTTCACACTAAAAATCAAAGTTTTCAGATCCCAGTTTCCTCCTTTTAAATGTAAATATACGTAAATAGTATTGCATGTAAAAAAAATAGACACATAGCTGTAAGACAGAAAAAAATGTTACTTTGAAGTCTTGAGCAATTAATTCAGTAATCACATAATCAACTGCTTTAAAGCATCTTCTATTTCTGAACACACAAGTACAAATACTGCATTCATCTGCATTCTCAGTACTCTGGTATTAATAAATGCAGTGTGCCAGTGTTTTAGGCTGAATCTGTTTCAGAGAGACACCTTACCTCTAGGGTAAACAAAGTATGTTCTAAGTATCAGCTTTAGAACATTCACATAAAGTGAAGCAATTAAGGAAATATACTGGTTCATGGTCTTTCTTAACTTACACACCAGTTGTTAATCAACAAAATACTTTTAACTGCAGCCAGAAAAGCATTTGTCTGTAGGATCAAGTCTCACTGATTCACAGCAGTTAAAATGTTTCCTGCCAAAGAGATTCTCAGTTAGATATTTCTGCTATATTTTAAGTGGTACAAAGGGGCAAGAACAAAAGAATAGGATGCTTCATTTTCATTAAAACTCCACAATAGTAATTAAACCACTTATCACAAGCTATTAGTTTGGTCCCAGATATATTTGTACTGACCCCAGGAATCTCAGTTAAATCAAAGCATTTCAATCCTTATCAAATTGATTTGCTGCATGTAACAGTCAAAATATAAAAACATCAGGAACAGTACCTGATGACTCTTACGTAAAACACCTTGAATATTTGTAGGATTGTAAAAACTAAAACAGCAGCTCAGTTAACATTGGTAGTAATTCTAGCACAAGGTATTGAAAACAGTAACAAAATTAGCACTTCATATTGCTGAAAAGATGCTTACCTTCCCAAAGTCTTTGACATGATATATTTCTCTCTGAATTCTCTAGGAAACACCAACTGATCATCCACCATAAGATCAGAAAATACAAACACTAGGAAGATGAGTGGAGATTATTTTCCTGTTATTAACTTCAAAATAGTTATAATGAATAACTAGACTTTCTGAGCTTTTATAGTCAACAACATAACTAAGCAAATGCTGCCTGCTAGAAGCAAAACAAATATTAAAAGATTAGACAATTAAAAATATATATGAAAAAAGTCAACTGATTCTGCAAATTACACGAGCAATGGGTTAAACAAGGTGCTGTCATTACTGGAAAATGGTATCTTTGGTATAAGCTTCACAACACTGCTTAATCAATTAACACAACATTTAAGGACAAAATAGCCAACCATGTCAGCTTCAGTGAAGGCTTTTTGCTAAGAAAGCAAAAGCAAAGAAACAAGCCCTAAAACCTCCTAATTTTTAAGAGTTTTGTTTTGTTTAAATTATTATTATTATTACTTACAAATATCTTACTATACAAAATCTTGTAATTTCCTGTTTTTTCCTTTCTTTCCTTGAATAGTTTATTTCCCCATCCCTCCCGCAACACACACAGAGCTACTGAAGGAGTTACAAAAATAGAAAAACAACTATAAAAGTTTATACTCTGGTAAGGTGGTTCCTTATGCAGCTTCTTTTAATTTTTTTTATTTAATTTTATTTTTTTTTTAGGATTGAGGTGGATATGGAGAATTTTATGCAAGTACAGAAACATCATAGCTATGTTCTCAGCTGTTATTTTAGCTGTACAGTATTCACAAAGAAGCTCAACTTGCAAAGAATATATTCAAATTATTGTAGAAAGGACCTCTTGATCAACACAGGAGGAATCTACATGTTTTACAGTATATTTTACCCTTATTAGTCTGAATAGACAGTGCAATTTCAGAGTTGTGAGTCAGTGGAAGTCTCCTCCCTTTTCCAATGAGCTCTCTATTAATGAAAGTTCCATTTGCACTGTGATCTTCAATATAGGCAACATAGGATTTTTTTGGACCCATTTCCTATGAGAGAAAAAAAATCAGGTAGGTAACAAAAGGAAAAAAAAAGAACTTTACAGTAATGACATGACAGACTAGAAATTTACTATTGTTGGCTCAGAAAATCAGACTAAGGTTATTTCATAAACCTGGTAATGGAGCATTGCCAAGTATCCTATTAAAGCAATCCACATCTAAGGTATGTAAATTTTGATTTCATTAGGAGCTCTGCCAAAGTCAATCCCTGCTAACATGAAGAAAGACAGTTAAACCTTTTTAGCACCTACCCTAAAAATTCGGAAGTGCTTCTTGCTATAGTTTTGGTAGAATCCAGTCTCGGACAATCCTAGCTTTGAAAAACTATAATCACAGCTTTTGTCTCTTCCAAACCAGTATTCATCATTCACGCAATCTGCAGAGAAAGGGTATGCAAATTGGAGAGAGAACACAGAATTGCATAAGTTACTAACTATGGCACTATAGAATCATGTCAAACACTACTAAGGAGGATAACAAAGACATGTTTCTTCAAGTTTACTTGTCTTAATTCAGACAAAACACTATGTACTGTCAATACCTTACATTTTGCCACAGTGTAATTTTATTCTCTGTATTAATAGTATAGTTTTCCATTCACCTTCATCAATACCTAGAGACTTATATGATGTATAAACAAAAATTATGAAATGGAAAAATTAAGCAAGTAGCAAAGAACATGAGTACTCCAGAATTCCTCTAAAATCTCCTCCAACTCTATGAAAACTGTGTATCTAGGTACTCAATGTAAACTTTGGGATGTAGCATGGAACACAGAATTACTGCAGAAGTTGCACACTTGTACTTAAATCTGGTTGTACATGATGTGAAGATGACACTGCTCCCTACCAAGCTGCTCATAACTTCTTTTTTTTTAAGGTGCTACAAACAAACTGGGAGATGCATTGTAGTAGTTACATACCACAATTGCTGAAACCTTTTCCAAGTGCAAAGAGTCGACCCCAAGGCTGAGGAACAAGCTCTTCAGGTTCCTGATCCTCAGGAATTGATGGAAGCTCTTGAGTGGGAACGGTGTCCAAAGAACTGAGGGTCCCAGAACTTGAGGATGACTGGCTAGCACTCTGTGATGCACTAGAAGAGGAACTGGTACCACTCTGTGACTGTTGGGCACCTTGAGACTGCTGCACTTCATTTCCAGTCTCTCGAGACATGTTGGCTTCAAAGAGAACATTTAAAAACCACTTACTACAGCAAAGTAATATTGACAAACTTTCATATACAGTCCCATTATCATACAAATCTATTTCCAGTCTTCAAATAAGACTCTCAACCAAAGCTTGCATGTGTGTTTGCATATATTTAAATATCCCCCAAAATGTGTAATGACTTTTTGTTTTAAAAAAGTATGTAGTGCTCCCTCTACCGGTTCTAAAGCAAGTTAAATCTTATTCCCAGATTTTCACTAAGGGTCTTCAGAACTCACTTGATTTCACAAATACTTGGGCAACAGTCTCTGACAAAGCACTCCTCAACAAAGCAGTAACCATTACAGTTCCCCAAACACAGGAAAAATAAAAATAAAAAGGAAAAACTAACTATAAAGCAAAAGTAGTTGATGTGGAAGGCACTCAGCAGACTTATCCCACAGGCAAGCCTATCTGGTGTCTTGGCTGAGTATTCCTTTAATATAGGTTATAACTTACAAGTTTTCACACCTATCTTTCAAACAGGTTCTATTCGTGATTTTATTCACCGAACAGTCACACCTATGCATAATGTATGGAATGTTTATGTACAAAACTCTGTCAGACTGCACACCCCTAGAAGCTGCTGTTAGAGACAGCAATGGCATCTCCCTGCCCTGCTACCATTGGAATTTAGAGTGGCGGGTTGCCTTCCTCCCTGCTGAGGAAGCACAACCCGCCAGCCCCTTTACCTTTAGCCAGCTTTCTCCAACAGCATCCGTTTAATTGCACAAAAGGGGCCATTACACTGCCCGCTAATCTTCCCAAAGGATGCTTCCATCATCTGAGGTCACTTGTGCTAACCTGTCAGCTTGCTGTCTCAGTGTATTAGTGTATCTTGGGGTTTATTTGTTCGTTTACTTTTAAGCTGGTTGCCATCCAGCTTCACGCGTAATTCAGCTAGCACACAAAGCAGCCTCCTTACCGACGCGCTACAACACCGTCCTGGCTGCTTTTTGCATGCACGTTCCAGCGCTCGGACGCAGAGGCAAGGCCCGCAGCCTCGAGCACACACAGCCCGCTCCCGGCAGCGCGCTGCTGCTGCGCCGAGCGCCCCTCGGAGGCTTCACCGGAGGGCGGCCGAGCCAGCGGGCAGGAGCGAGCCGGAGCCGGAGCCGGAGCTGGGCAGCAGCGGCCGCCTCGCGGGGCCCGGGACGCTCCGGCGCCAGGCGGAGCCCGCGGGACACGGCCCAGCAGCCGCCGCGCAGCGCCGAAGCCGCTCCCGTCAGCGCCTGCACCCCCCTCAACCCCCGCCCCGCCGCACCGGGGGCAAGGCCGGGCCGGGCGCCGCGGAGCCCCCGGAAGCCAAGAAAGGCGAGGGTGGGGGGCGGCCGCCGGCCCCGAGGCCGCGCTCCCGCGGCCCCGCGCGAGCGCCGCAGCCCCGCTAGCGCGGCCGAGGGTCCCGCACGAACCTCCCGGGAAGGGCGGCGGCGGCCGGGGCCGGGCCGCGCCCGGGGCCGCACTCCCGAGTGGCGCAGCCCGCGCCGCGCGACCTCCCCGCCGCCCGGCCCAGCGCGCGCGCGCCCCGCCGGCTCGCTGCGAACTGGGCCAATGGGGGCCCGGCCGGGCGCGCGGGGCTGCCGGGAGCTGTAGTCTGCAGGGATGCAGGCGGCGCTGCGGCAGCATCTCGGCGGGGCGCGGTGGGCGCTCCGCGTTTCCGAGGCGGCCCTGCGGCCTCGCTGCGTCGGGCCGGCCTCTCCCCCGGCCCCGCGCTGTTGGAGCTGCGGCGGTCCCGTCCCCGGCGCCGCGGGACTGCCTCATTTCTGCCCCAGCTGCCGGGCCCTGCAGCCGCCGGGGCCCCGGCCTGACCTCTTCCGCCTCATGGACTGGTGAGTGCCGCCGGGGCGGCCGGGGGCGCAGCCGGCCGCGGGCCTCACGCCGCCTTCTGTCGCCCGCAGTGACCGCTCCTTCAGCCTCGACGTGCAGCGGCTGCAGCGGCGCTTTCGGAGCCTGCAGCGCGCCCTTCACCCTGACCGCTTCGGCCAGAGGCCGCCGGTGAGTGCCCGGCGGGCCTCGTCTCGTCGCGTCGCCCGCCTCAGCGCCGGCCGCCCTCAGCCCCCGCGCCCCGTTCCGCGCTCAGCGCTGCGGCGGGGCCTGGCGGCACGGCTCGCGGGCCCTGCGGGAAGGGGCGGGCGCTGCCCGGCCAGACGGAACGCGTGGAGGCCCTACCGGCCGTGTGCCTGGGGACTTCTAGGTTTAGTTCCCGAGGAACTTAGAAGAGGCTTCTGCTCACGGACTTGTTGTGGAGGATGATGAGAAGGTGCTGCTGAGGTTCTTGTGATCTTCGTTATGTGATGGGACAAAGCTTACAACTGCAGATAGTTTTCTCCCCGTTCTTTTTATTTCTGTTAAAAATCAACTTTCGATTTTACGTTCATTTGTTATGGGAACGTTGTTTCTATGCAGGCGACAAAGGGTAATCTATTTTGCCCCTTCTTACTAATTTGTTAATAAGCGTTATTTATCTTCCGTTTGCAGAAAGAACAGCACTACTCAGAGCAACACTCTTCTTTGGTTAACAAGGCCTATCAAACCCTCCTGAATCCTCTCAGCCGCGGCCTCTACCTAGTAAGGAGTCCACTACATCCATTATCAATGGTCCATAGTCCATTATCAATGCACCAATAACAAGTCGTAGTGGTAATGCAATGAATCAATTTTGTAAAATTCCTGTGATACCATCATTCACATGCTAATTTGTGTTCCCCTGAAGAAGAAACAGGATTACCATGGATTTAAAAAAAGCTTGTCTGAAAGTCATCCTTCCCGCTATTTTAACACATTAGTGATAATTATAACCTCATTCCCTGCTTCTGCCATGCTAATTTGTTACCTGCTTCCTGGTTATTCGTTACCTGCTTTGGCCTTTGGCAGCCTTTGTTATATTTTCCTGCTTTAGTTAACTGCTGATTTTTATGGACCACCTATGGCGTGGTTTTTAAGACTTAAGATTTTAAGGCTGACCTGGTTTTATGCAGATTTCATGGAATAAGCTTAAAAAACAGAAATTTATCGGATAAGAAGCCTTGCTAAAAGACTTAATATTCAAGAAAATCTTTCACACTGAAATAAATTTGAGAATGTTTCTAAATTCCCCTTTTCTCCACCAGCTAGAGCTGAATGGAGTGGAACCAGCACAAGAGACAGACTGTGATGCAGATTCAGAGTTTCTCACGGAAATCATGGAAATCAATGAGAAATTAGCAGAGTCTAAAAATGAGGATAGCCTTGAAGAAACTGAAACTTTAATTAAAGGTAGGTTGAGATCTGACAGTTCTGTACAGAATGAATTTATAATCCTGTATCTTGTGTAATATGGAAGTGTCTGAAGATTCTTAAGTTACTCAGTTTATTTATTTTAGTACCCTTGTCATTAAATTCTTCTAAGTCTCGAACTGACTTGCTGTAAGAGCTTTTATTTTTCCCCAAATAAAAATGTTGTCTTTACCAATTTATGCCACTTAAAATCAAATCTGGCTCAGGAAAATCTAAATAACAGTACCTATTCTGATGACAAAATAGGTATATTTATTGACTATAAAAAGAAACTTCTCATTCAACCTCCACCAGATCAGGGCAAGTAGATTGCTCGAAAGGAAAGAACCACTCAAAATAAAGTTTTATTAAAATACCTGACTGCACACATGAAATAATTTATTAATTTATTCAGGTATTTTATTATTTTCATCTTCTTCAACTTAGCAAACATTGTATCGATTATTGTTTTTATACGAGCAACTTCCTTGTTTATATTGTTGATAACCAAAACATTGGGTTTCTTGCTATGTTTAATTCTTTACAATAACAAGAGCATGCCAAAAGCAACAAGAATTACTAGAATAAAAACTAAGTAGAAAAGAAGCAATTTAATAGTAGGTAGATTTCTGGGAAGCTAGTGAACACATTGAGTGAGGCATTGCTGTCTGTAAACCTGTCTAAATAAAGGAGTACGTTTGAAATGATAATAAAAATAATCGCCAGCAATAATATGGGAAGCCTTCTTGTCTCCCAGAAGACTATGATACTAGTAATTGTTTCCCACCACAGCCAGAATGCATTGGTATTAAATATACTGAGTATGTAACAAAATCTGAATAATTTGTTTTACAGTAAAACGAGAAGAATTGACCAAAGAGGTGACCGCAGCTTTTGAAAGAGGTAGCTATTTTAATCAAGTATTTAGTCGCCATATATATGTTATGAATGCTTAAGAAAAGCCATGTTCTCCTTTTTCAAACATTTTCTGAACTACTGAACAGAAATACTGTATAAACAATTGCTCCTGTTTGATGTTTAAAAATAGATGCTTCTAAGCTTGACCTTTTGATTCAGGAAACTCAGGACCTCACATTTGTATTTGAACTTTTTTTTTTAGTTTCAGTTAATTCCATTCACATCAAAATGACCACTTTAAACAGGAGCACAGTCATTAAGAATTTTTGTTTTTTTGTTTTTCCTAATACTGGGAAGGACAGACTTTTCTCATTCAAATTTATGGCCTATTTGACGTTTCAAACTTGAGTTTGAGGAGTTCTTGTTCTGCGGACTTGAAGCTGTCAACAAAATAGTCAATGCTTTTCTTTGCAGTGGAAGTCTGGAGTGCCTACCACTGAAGCCATATAGCAAGACAGGATGCAATGCCCCATTTAGTCTAAGGTATTAGGGCCTTCCTCCGCAGTAATCAACGTAACTTTATTCCACAACCAATTAACGGGCAGGAGCTTGAATCATTTCAGACAACACTTTTACACTGGGAAGACGACTTTTTATTTTTCTCCTCAGTCTCAGAGTTCTTTTACTGTTGGTTTATGTAGTGTGTGCTGCAATTGTAAAACATCAAATGAAAAGTAGTAGCAGCTAGGCCTGCACGTGAAGAATTATAACTTTATAATATGCCATTCTTTGTACTGTGAGATTTAAGGACTTCATCTGTTCTTGTTAGTAGGTGATAAACCATCTTTCCCCTCCAATTACTTGTTCTGTTAAGGAACAATTGTTTCAGTATCAGTTTGGAATTGCCCTCATCTGTATCAGAGTGCTATGAATCTTGCATTTTTCAGTGATGGTAGTTGGTCTAATTATATATGTTCCCCCATTCTCGAAATGTCTGTATGGTCTTTATACTTAAAATTCCTCAGTGGCTACACCAATACTAAAGCCACTTTACAGAAAAGTCACACTTCCTTTCTCAATTGTGTATTTTTACATGTTTTGTGGAACACCTCAATTAAGGTGTTCCAAAACCTTCAAAGATGAAAATAACAGACACCATGTTTTTAATAGTATATGGGTTCCCAGTGCTTTTGCAGTTCATAGTTCCGAAACAATTGCTGTCAATGAAATCTTGAGATCCATTTTAAAAATGAAAACTCAGTCCTCCCTCTGTAAATTAGTAATTTTTTATTTCATTTCAGATGATCTTCAAGAAGCTAAGAAGCTTCTAGCCAAAATGAAATATTTTGCAAACTTAGAGGATAAACTAAAGAACAAGAAGATGCCTTCCTGATACTGCCTCCTTTATCATTAAGAGTTAATGTTATTTTCAATTAAACATCTGATTTAGTAACCAAAATCAGAAAAATGGTGTTCGCCTCCTACATTTTTCTTAGTTTTAATGCTGAGAGAAGGAAGACAGAGAAGAAACTCAGCGCTTACTGTAGCACTTATTTAAGTACAGATGGAAGCAGGAAATGTTTACAGCCAGAAAATTGGTAACGAGTAAGTTAACAGTATTGTTCTAGCAGAGTTACAGGTATAGACATGATTTTCAGAGAGACACACATAAATACAGTATGCAATTAAGATTTCTTTTGATTACTAAAATGTGAAGAGTTTATTTTAAGTTGAGGAAAAGTCCTTCATGAAATAATGAAGATTAAACAGAATGCTCATTCAGCAGGCCCTTCAAGCTCTCTTAGTCTCATTGTATGTGTTCTATCCAATCATCTTGGAAAAATCTTCAAGGGTGAAAAATACATATATATATTTAAATCATCTGTCCTCTTTTCTACTTCGTGCTTTTTGTGTTGTTGAACTTAATCTGCCAGGAAATGACCTTAAAAAATTAGAAGAGGTTTTACCCTGCTGCACAACTTAAAATGTTAAATTTTCCCTCTATGTTGGGGAGGGGAGAGGGGGAAACAAAAATAAAAAACCCACTCAAGTGCCAGAAACTTTTATTATTACCCTTTAAAAAACAAACCTTTGGAATAAACATCATTACTACTTAAGATAATACAAGAAAAATTCACATAGGTGTTGTCCTGCCTTTACTTCTTTGATATAGAATGCCTGTGTCTTTCTGCGGTTACAGCAATATAACTGGAGGAGGAATCTCCTTAAATCTTTCAGAGAAGTTATTTAAATGAAAAACAGCAACTAAATACCTCAAGTTAATAAATTGACTAGAATTCTTCAAATACCAGTTTCACAGAAGTTCATGTTTGGGATTTAATGCCTCAGAAGACTAGGTATGCTTTATTCAGTAAAGCATTAACATATGCTCGATAATTGAATTTGAAGTGAGGTTATTAGAAATAACAGCTACTGATTTGTATTGCCTGTCTGACAAAGTCTGCTGGAGGCAGGAGGAGTGGAATTTATCAACCTCCACCAGCATTTCTTACAACATCAAGTTGTAACTAAACATCGAGTCTTCATATATGATGTTTTAATAGCACTTCATCAGTATCTGTCTTAACAGCATTTCAGAAAGATTAACTCACCTTTTAATTAAGCCTCCTCTAAATATACAGGAGGAAGTAATAAACTACTTGTTCATCGCTAATTTAGAGGACAGCATTCATAGTTCTCATTGAAGTAGTTTTATAACAGCTGTGGAATAACACAGATTTAAAATTCATCATGGAGTTGTCTTCTTTCATAAAGTTCTGTTTCCTTTTCTTTGTTTTTTCCTCCAAAATTAAGCTTGTGAAATTCCTTTTTGATTTCCAGAAAAGACTTGTTTTTTGTCTCAGGAATTACGAGGAAGATGAAAGCAGCAACTAAGGAGCACTCCAGTAAGAACACCAGAAAGCAATACTGCTTCAGTCCTTTCTGAAAATAGATTGTATTTATTTGATTGCAACATATTTTAAGTATGACCAGGGGTTGGAAAACAAAATGCTTTGTTTCCATTATTCCCTTACACTGCCACCCAGAGACTTAAACTGTTTAAACACGCATGTGTTAATGCATGCACAGAATTAGTGTGAAATAACATTATTTTTAATATCAAACCATACACGATATGAATCGTGTATAATGTAATGGCAAGTCAGCATTCCCTAAAATAAAAATTTCAATAATTTAGATATTTTAAGTTGGTAACATTTAGCTAATATTTTAGGTTCATAACATTTTTTATGAATGAAAATTTGTAGTGCCATATACAAAAAATAAATACCTCTTGTTCAGAAGCAGAGTTCTACCAAGAAGAAAAGATAAAGATAGATACTCTGCTGCATGCTCTTCATGCATGTTTTGCTCTTAAGTGCTAAACCAAAATGTTAGTCTAGAAATAAAAGTCTATATGTTTTTTCCTAACAATTTTTCTGATCACAGAATTCTCTGTATGTAAGTTTAGTGAGCTCTCAAAGAAGATACAAACCATTAGCCCCAAGTACTGTTTCTACTCCAATGTAAAACCACAGGGAACTATCAAAAAATGTTTTATTTGAATCTCAGTATCTGCTTAATTTTTTCTAGTTTTGATACCTTCTGTTTTTTGTGTGTTGTTTTTTTTTTTTTTTTTAAATCCAAACCTCTCATGAATTCTTTTTATTTTAACTTAACACTTTTAGATGTTAACAAATAAAACAATACCCTTAAGAGGGACTGAATCTAGTTAGGCTCAGATGAGGGTTTCTATTTATCTTATGTTTATATGTCTTATGTAAGTTTTCTTATGTTGTATAAGAAAAAGCAGTTTGATGGAACCTGAGAGAGGAGATAGTGGGAGGTTAGACAATTAGGAAAATGTGTTATGCAAACTTACCACTATAAAGGGAAAGAGCATTCCAATTGTGAAGAAACTAATCCAACTAATAGTCCCTCCTATCATGTAAGCAGCAGGACGTGAAGACTGTATAAATAATTCAGCTGTCAGGGTATTTGTTATGCCACCTGGGGGTAATGAGTTTCGGAAACAGAATGGGTTATTGTAAATGTCTGCAGAGTACTTCTGATGCCAGAAAAATTGAGTTGCTTTTCCATATGCCAATAGTTGATCCCAATCTATTATTAAAAATGAATAAAATTAAGTATTCTTAACAGCACCTCTCTGAATCTACTGCCCACATAGTAAGCATTCTTCTAAGAATTAGTCCTTTTTCAGCACAACTGCCAAGGAGCAAGAATTCCTTTAAAAAGCATAACAGTTTTTTTTTCCCTTGCTTCTCGTATGACTTGACTGAATTAATGGCCAGAACTAGGACTCCTGTCTCATGCGTAGCTGGCCCTGACAAGAATGCACCGTAAGCCTGTTTCAGGCTACATAGACTGAAACTATATCATTTTGATAAGACTGCCTCACTTGGATTCCTTAACCAGAGAGCATCAGCAGCCATACAGTAAATAGCTACTGCTTGGCTTACACAGCAGAGCTGCAGACATTTCTCTCTCCACCCTCCAAGACACAGTTCAGCACTTCAAGACATTCTTTACTGTGTGATACCTGGTCCCAACCCAAAGCTCAGTATGAAGGCAAATATAGATGTCATGCTCACATAAGGCACCCATGAGTACAGTTCCTGGAACAGAAAAAAAAAGTTTTAGTTTAAGTTTTGATAATCCAGTTTAAAAAATGAGTTTTAACAGTTACACATCTCTTAGCTATTTTATTTCAACTAAGACCAAGTCATTCATGGATGCTTAAGGCACTTAACACTACTGCTTCAGACAAAGTCAGTATTGTTCATTTCAGTTTTTACTAAGTTGTGTCTAGTACTTCTGTCGAGATTTATAATGAGTCCTCTAAGACTAAAAATGTACACAAATATAAAAAGTCACAATTATATATTGTTACTAGTTAAACATTTTGTCAGTGTTTATTCTGGTATTTTATAATGATTAGATAACTCATAGGATCATTACTAAGCACTTTCATAGCATAAACAGATTTTTCTCATCACATTATGTATACATCAGTTCAACAATGCAGTAAAGAAATGTTAGGATCACTAAATACATGTATATGAAACTAGGTGTGTTAGATAGTCCAAACCTAAGCTTGAAATGTCATTATTCAAAAGCAAACCCAGAAATTTACAAAAGTTACAATAAAATGATTAAATCTAGGCCTCTGAAGTGGACTCTGATGCTCTGATGCTTAATATCATCACTATCTAGTATTTCATCCTAAAAGATAGAATACACACTGTTTTGTCAATGCTTTTTTTTTTTTTTTTTTTTTCCTCCTCAGCATTAAACTCAATTTCAGTTTTAAAACAAGTACAGGATCAAATCTTATCTGAGAGTTTTCTCTTACTTTATGGAAATATAGTGGGAGAATCAATCAAATCTTTCAACTGTCATTTTTTTACACTGATGCTTAAATCTATGCAGCTCTCATGTACCAGCTTCTTTTGAGCATCACAGATTTTCACTCACTTATAGTTATATCATGTAATATAAATGAGTCCTTCTTTACACCTGGTAAGTCAGAGAGAATGTTAAAACAATGCTCCAAAAGATCATAAGGAGGTATCCGCCAATGATAAGATATCTTCTTCCCACGTAGTCGATCAGTAAACCCTATGGGTAAGACATAATATTTTATTACTATACCAACCTCATATTTACCAAAGTTGTTCTTCAAGCATTGTTATTCATTATGCTAAAAGGTAGAAGAAATTGGTACATACACAGGTGAGGGCTGTGAGACATTCACAAGCTCCAGTGCCAAGTGTCACATATGGGATTTTTTCTGCTGAGATCCCAGCTTGTTCAAAAATGTAAGTTGCATAGAAATAAATCTACAAAAGGAGGAAGAAAGTAAAAAGGAATAAAAGAATGGATCATTCCCAATAGATAAATTGTCAGTTGGAGACAAAGTCAAGTTCATACTAACATACTCCTGAATATATTTTATATTGTGACTTTTTAATATGATCTAAACAGCAAGAAGAACCTGATAAATTAGCATCTAGGTAAATATATTGCTATCATAAAAGTAAATATAATTATTCAACTTACTAAATATAATGTTTCATCATTCTTAAGCTACATGTCATGGGATAAGCTGATCCACCTTTATTTACTTTTTCAGAAGAATAAAGATGTAAACACAAAAATTAGGTCATTCTTCAAAGCAATTTACATACCAAAAACATTCAAATAATAATTAAAAATAAATAAATAAACATGCTTCAATTTAATAAACATGAATAAGACAGGTTTTCTCTCTCATTTATGCCATTTCTCTGAGATTCTCTACACGGGCCCCTCATTTTAAAAAAAGGCTGAAAAATAAATGGAAGTTAAATAATTGCTTAAGTTGTTTTTAAGTATGAAATCTTACAGCATTTATCCCACTGAGCTGCTGGCCCATAGTCATGACAATCACAGTAATGAGCTGCCATCTCACACCACGATCAGTGAATAGTTGCCAGGGCTTCCTGGGTTTTTCCCCATCCAAGGCAAAACATTCCTGCTGTATGTCTTCCATCTCCCTTTGATACTGCAAAGAGCCATGAAATCGCTTCAAAGCTAAAACCAAAAAACAAACAAACAAAAAAACATAGGCCAAAAGGTACTAGGCAATGTAACTATGCTGCATTGATAAGAAAAGGAAAATCTGAAACCAGATATACTCATTGTACACTTTTGAAGATGCAGAGAAAGTATATACACTGTAAATTACCTTTGGCACAGCTCAGCTCATCACCTCTGTCAATAAGAAGATATCTGGGACTTTCAGGAAACCACGGCAGGAATAAAAGTTGGGCAAATGCTGGAAAAGAGCTGCTGGATAGCAAAAGAGGCCAATACATTTCTCCACCTAGTAATTCCCTGGAAGAGGTGTGGAAAAAGAAGGAAAAAAAGGTAATTAGCTATTGGTGACTGTTCAGAAGACTACTGAAAGCAAGATGTTTGTTCCCTGTAACTAGTTACTTATGTCTTGTGAACCTCAACAGGAGGAGGCTCAGAAAGTACTTTCCACCCACTCTGAAACCAGGTTTCACTTGGGAATAAATAAGCAACACTGCTTTACTGCTGCTTATTGCTGTGTTGGTTCCAAGCACTAATTTCAGATTTGTTGTAGCAGCGTTTTCTAGGGTTACAGGAACGTAAGAACTTAAGGACTTCACTTTAAGGTCAGAACCAACACTCCCATTTGCTTTTGAAAATCATACAATAATTTGCCATAGAAGGGAACACAGAAGGTCATCTGATCCCACTTCCTATTCAAAGTTGATTGAATTAGAAAGTGTATTTACATAGAAAGGAGTCATTAAAATTGATAAAGTTAGAATCTGCAGGATGATGTGTTGTGGGCAATATGAACTTGTTAAAATAGAAAGTGTATTGCATTTTAAATATTGACCTTAGGTTATGCAGTCTAAAGTTTATATTCTACTTTATACAAACCTAAAGTATCCAGCAAAATCAGTTAATTTAGAAGGTGGCAATAAAGACAAAAGGGAAAAGTTTAAGGGCTTTGGTAGACTGAAAGAGAGAAGAGAAAAAATAAGAATGTAGAAACTATAAGAATGTAGCTGTTACTCAGGGTACCAGCTCTTAGGGCAGGGGAAAGCTTCTAGCAGACTTCATGAAAGAGGCTTTTCATCTTGAGGTTATGTAGTCTATTCCTGGAATTTTTCAAGAACCAACCGGATAAAGTCCCTAGCAACCTCATCTGATCTCACAAGGGACAAAAACAGCAGTTGTGCTACAATATAAAAATTAAGAGGCCCTCAACTTGTTCTCAAGGACTTGTTCTCAAGTCCTGTTGTATGAATTATTTTATACTTCTTTGTCACCAGCAAGAAACTGCAAAAATATGAACTTGGCCTAAATGTGCTTCTTTAACTGGTGCTGTTCTGTTTTGACTCACCTACACAGAGAATAATTCCCTGAGGAGATAAAAGCAGTTATCTTCCTACAGGTAGACGTTCTGTATGAAGTCATTCACTAATGCTACAATGAGTGTTTTGCGGGGAGCTGCAGGGAATTACAATTATTTAAATGTGAGTAATGCACAGGAGGGGAAAAAAAAATTCTAACCTCAAACCAATTATTTGTCCTGTCAGAATCCCCCCAGTCAGAAAGATGGAACTACCCATGGCCATGCCACCTCTAAGATGTTTTGGGGCAACCTCCCCAATATACAGAGGTTGCACACAGATCCCAATACCTGCAAGTAAATGGAGAAACATTTTCCTATTAATAGATTGTATCTTTCTTGTTTTTTCCACAAAGCATATGCTATGCAGTGCATACCCTGGATTTGTGTGCTCAAGAACATTTTGTTCCTTTACAATAGCGTGTTTATTGAATAATACTGAGAAGTCATTAATGAAACAGTTTCTTATTCTAGCTTATTACAACCACACCAAAGATATGGTTCTCCATGCCTTTACAAACAGGTCATATCATGGTAGGTCAGTATTACAGCACTAGTGTCTTTTTAGTCTCTAGATTTTGCTTTGAAAAGAGTAACTGAACCAAAACATGCAGAAAATTGGACTTATTTTTAATTTCTCTATGAACTGAACTGCCTTCAGATTCCATATTAAACAGAAAATTTTGATCATCATATCTACAAAGCAGTGTACAAAGATGTATTATAATACTTAAAGAATCACCAGTAACAATAAGTTATTATTCACTGTAGCTTATTGAAAGTAGGAATAGGAAATCATTTACCTGAATTTATACCAATTAAAAATCTTCCAACAATCAGTAACTCAAACAAACCAGTAGGAAAACTGATCCCCATTAAAATGGCAGCCAGTACTGCAATAATATTATTCATCAAAAGAGCTCCTTTCCTGAAGAGGAAAAAAACAATACAGAAATCAGCAATAATGGGTTTTAAAAATATTTTACTTTTTGGTGATAGGGAAAAAAATGAGCTTTGTAATGATGAAACATGCTATTCACTGGAAATATGATACAACTATTTACTCAAAAATAAAGTCTAAACATAAGGATAATTTATATCCTTATAAAGTTTATAAACATAATTTTCCTTATGAGGAAAAGCTGAGACCTGTGCCTTTTCAGCCTTGAGAAGACTTAGAGGGGACTTATTGATGTTTACAAGTATCTTAAGTGTGGGCAACAGTGGGATTTGGACAACCTGTTTTCAGAGGGGACAGGACAAGGGGCAATGGCTACAAAATGGAGCACAGGAAGTTCCGCACCAATATGCAACTTCTTCACGGTGAGGGTAACGGAGCACTGGGACAGGCTGCCCAGGGAGACTGTGGAGTCTCCTTCTCTGCAGATGTTCCAGGCCCATCTGGACGCCTACCTGGGCAACCTGCTCTAGGGAACCTGCTTTGGTAGGGGGGGTTGGACCCAATGATCTCTGGAGGTCCCTTCCAACCCCTGCAATTCTGTGATTCTGTGATAAGACAGAAACGCCTGACAAGGTAGGAGTGTGGTTTTGTCCATTCATGCTGAATCTATACGGAGTTTTTATGAAATGTTACAGAGTTCACAGCATGTCCTTACTATCAAATGTGTGCATGTGGAACCTGTGTTTTCATACAGTATTTCCATACTCTTTCTGAGATTTCAATAAATGTAATGGAAAGACTGGACTGGAAAGCTTTAATTCTGGCTCATCTTTTAAGTCACGTTGGAACAAAATGGAAAACTGTGCTAGAAAGCTCTTTGAAGTGAAAAACATTTATAGTCACCTAATGTACATTGTTTCCCACTCCCACTTTCCACTGATTTCCTTTACATCCCAATGAAAAGGTAGGAAAAGAAAACATGCTCTGTGTCTGCCTGCCTATGTAACTCACCTGCCTAGCCGAATTGCCATGCTGCCTCCAATAAGGGCTCCACAAAGACCTCCAAGTGAAAATATAGAAGCAATGACAGACCAAAGAAAAGTCAACAAATCTGGACTTAATTCCATGTGATAACGGCTAATCCAAGTTTCATTTAAGAACCTGTGAATATGCTGCAGCAGAAAGAAATGATGATACAAGCATAGCATTCTATGTATGCCCTTCTGCAACTCTGATTTTCTTCTTCCTTTCTTACAGTATTCACATGTCAAAATTTTGAAATGGTCATTGTACATGTTTGGTATACTAAAATTTGCCTTTAGAAACTCTTGAACTGACACATATCTGTACTCAGAGGCTCCTGTTCTTAGTCAGCAAACAAAGACTTCACAGATGAACAAACTTCCTGGACTCTCCCTCTATTTCTGGCATACTACATATTTCACAACCAGTGGGTGAAAATACCTTTGATGGGTACTCAGGCCCTACAGATGCAACATTTTTGCCTCTCTAAGGTGGCCTTTCTCAGTAAGCTACCTTGTGATGGACTGCTGTAAGTATCCTTAGTATTCTGGCCTACATTAGTCACAGGTGTAACTGGAAAATGTTACTTATTTATCTTATTTATTCTGTTAATCCTTCTAAAGCAGATTTTAATAGAGCTATTTATATGGGATTTCTGGCACTTTTGTCTGACACAGAATACTTCTGATAGGAGGTATTCACAAATTCATACGAAACCCTTCTGGAAATCAGCAGGATCTTTCATACTGCTTTGGAACCCAGTGCCACCACAGTCAAAGTGCATTTGTCCTCTTGGTCCAGTTAGACAGGATACCTCCATTACTGCAAAACAGACAATATTTTACCTGGGTGGGTGCATTGATAATGGAAACATTATATCCATATTGAAAGGTCCCTCCAATTCCCACAGCGCAAACAGCCAGAAATAAGGTCCAGCTAGGAAACTAGAGAACAAGAGAGAATGTCAAGTATGAAAAGAGATAGACCCTTGAGCTCACATGCATATAATACCCAGGACAAAAATTGGTGAGGTAACCACATATTTTTTCAGGCTGTGAAAGTGTTTGGTTAGAAAATGACATAAGCTCTCAAATATCTGTAATAGGAAAAACATTTCACACTGACTTTGGCCATGATCACTAGCATTCTTCAGAGACAACACAAGTTTTCAGATTAGCTGTAGGATACACAACCGCTTCAGAACAGTAGCAGTTACTAACTGCGTGAATGCTTTTTGCACACGCCATGCTGCTCATGGTCTCTGGTTTTTACAAAAGAATTTTAGGACTGTGTGTTTGGTGTAAAAGACACAATAACTCCATATGAGAATTAACAAACTCACAATTTCTGTCTTGAAAAAAAAAACAAGAAATAAAATCATCCTGATTGAGAGCTACAAAAGCACAGTAGCACTGACAGTTTTAACAGCAACACAGGAATTTAATTCCTAACTCTGCCATTGACTCATTAGACCTGAACAAGCCACTCCACTTCCCTGCACCGCAGGTTCCTGATCTGCTAAACAGCTGGTTATAACTTTTTGTGAAGAAATTCAAGCTCTACTCAGATGAATAATTAAAAATTATTTATATTTTACAATTACAATAAAGTATTCCTACTATATCATTGTATTGTAAGCATTAAAACAGTGAGAAGAGAGCACCGGGGGAGCGGGAGGAGAGAGAGAGACACAAGCCCAGAATCAGTAACACACATCATATGTTTTTGTAACGCCTCCACTTTATTCATGTCCAAAACAGTCTGTTCATCAACCATCACAGATTGTGTCACATTGGAGTTTAAGCCCAGACTTCTTAGAGCATGGACAACAGCATTATCAGTTCCACTTCATTTTAGAAATAGGCCACAAACAAAAAATGGTTTAACATTCAATATAAGAACATAAGAATCGGAAAATGTGCTTTTACAGCTTCCATTTTATGACACAGTTTGCAGTCTAAGGACAATACAAAACTTCACAAGCCTAATCATGACCTAAAAATAAATGTGAAAATAAGAAAATGTTGCAATCATGAATCAATGTTAAAGCTAAAATCTTTCTGCAGGATCCATCTTCAGAGGCCACGAACATTCTGCTTACCTTGCTGCGCATGCTAGACCCTCTCAGTAGGGGCTGGTACTCCATTCTTATCATGGGCTGAATTAGATTTCCTTTGCAAAACTTTAATAAACTACACTACAGGAACAAAAGGTGCCAAAGAGATGAAGCTGTTATTGTATGAAAACAAAGAATTTTGGGTCCACCTCTAGCCAATGGGATTCTTCTCAACAGTCCGCGACTTTCTTTAGATGGAAACGTCCAGCGCTCGCTAAGTCTTACGAAGCCACGACAGCAGTTAAGTAGCTCACAACAGCAAGTTTCCCGGTAATACATTTCATACCACTTTCAATTTCTTCATTTACATCGGAGCAGAAAGCATGCCCTTCAGTCGCCAGTTAGCTACAGACTTCAGCTACTAAGGAAAATGACAGGCAGTTACCTTGTGCTTCCGCGTCATACCGCCTGCTGCTCGCGGCTACAGCCCCAGCTTCTTCCCCAAACCACACACCACGGAGCCGGCGAAAAGCCGCCGGCCGAGCTCCTCACCTGATCAGGATTTGGCTGCTCCAGGGGAGGCCCTCCCCGACCCGGCGGTTCTGGCTGCAGTCCGCGAACAACAGCGGCTCTGTCTCGAGGTGCCCTCGAGAGGCCGGGGCTTTACCGCTGCCGGGCAAGGAGGGCGCCTCCCGCACGCCCCCATCCCAGCAGCAGCGGGACTCGGGCGGCCGCCGCCCAGGACTACAGCTCCCATAGTGCCGCGCGGCCGCCGCCCAGGACTACAGCTCCCATAGTGCCGCGCGGCCGCCGCCCAGGACTACAGCTCCCATAGTGCCGCGCTCGCCTTCTCCGAGCGGGGCGAAAGGCCTGGAAAGGACTCGGCCTCTGGCGGCGCCGTCCGACTCCGAGAGCGGCGCGGCCCGGCCCGGCCCGGCCCGGCGGTGAGCACGGCGCGGGCGGGCGAGCTCCGGCTCTTCCCTGCTGCTGCGGTGGGGCGCCCCACGGCCGCGGCCGAGGGCTGCCTGCAGTGCCGCTGGGCCGGCTCGCCCGCGCTGCCTCAGTGATCGCCCCGCTGCCGGCGCCCGCCCGCGTCCGGTCCCGTTCGGCCCCGTTCAGCGCGGGCCTGCGCGGGAGAGCTCCGGGCCGGGCCGGGTCGGCCCGAGCAGCGGGGGCGGCCGCGGGCCGGAGCTCCGCGCGGCTCTCGCAGGGCGGGAGGCGGCGCCGGCCCCGGGCCCGCCTGAGGGGAGCCGCTCGCCCTGCGGCGGCACCGGTGCCGGGCCGGCCCCTCGCGGCCTGGCGGGGCTGACGTCCTCTGTCTGCTCGGCAGGAGATGGCAGCTCTGGGCAGATCCTGCCCGGGCATCCCTGCGGGGCCCGCCCTGGAGTTCCCCCAGGCGCTGGCCGCGGCCCCTGACCGCCACGGCCTGCCGGGAGTCGCGCGGGACGATTCGCAGCCCGGAGCTGCCGGCCGCGGGTACCTGCAGCCCCCCGCCGTGATGCTGGCGGGGAACAGGAGCGACGGCGCCGATGGCTGCGGCTCCTCCGGCGCGTGTCTGCAGAGCAGCTTTGACATTGCCGCTCTTGCTGCGCTTGGGAGTTACAACGAGAGCCTGACTGTCGCTCCGGTGGGCTCCTTCACAAACGCGGCGCACCCGCGAGGCTTGCACCAGCAGCAGAGTCACAGCCAGTAAGTACCAACATCAGCATCGTTACTGCGGGAACGGGGAAGGGAAAATGTTCCTCATTTGTACTGGCCTTGTGAAATAACCTGTCTTTCCAAGAGAGGTTCGAATTTGTTTTCTTCCGGTATTGTATTGTTTGTATGTTAGAACTGTGTTGGTTCTCCTACTGCCTTTAAGTTTCTTGGTGAAGGATGAAGGAACCTTCAAAAAAGAAAGAAATGCGATCGAATTTTCCTAGATCTTGATATGCTTTAAGCTCTTGTACTTCTTTTTAAACTCACTCTTTCTAATATGTGAACACACAATACTTGTATAAAGTCTTATTCTGTCATATTTTGTTGTTTGGTCACATTTAATTTGAGTCTGTCATCAATGTATTATTAGAGCCTGAAGTTGGTTCACATGCTAGTTTTGAAGCATTTGAATTTTAGCAAAAATTGTTCTTGCCCCTTGGGGAAAAAAGAAATAATATAAAGGAGAAATTATCGGGCATTCTGCTCAGAGAACTGAGCAATTACAGACCTCTTTGATTTTCTTTGGAACAAAAGTTGGTCCTTGTTGTCCAACCCTTCAGTCCCTTCACAACTGGTGACATGTGGCGACTATTGCTCTTACTGCTGTTCAAGCTGTGCGTGAAGTTTGAAAAGGGAGGAAAATATTGCTTGAAAATCTATGTCGTTGGAAGATAGAATTGCAAGCCAATAACCATTTCTCTCTATTTTACAGTGTCACTGTTCGAGGTGGAAAGAAGCATAAGCTAGAAGAAGAGGCAGAAGGGTAAATTAAATTTGTCTTTAATAGCCTGAGAAATCTTATAAGAATTTCCTTTTTATTTTCAATAAAGATTTGAGTACATCTTATCTACAGGATACGTAGGAAAGGAGCATCTTCCATTGTTTCAATTTGGAACTCTTCCCCTGAATTGCACATGAGCAAGCCCAAATCCACTTCAGCTACCTAATTAACTGAGTAGCACTAATTTTTCTGGCACGGGTACCCATGTTTTAATAAGAGCAATGTGTCTTGTTTTGTGGAGGTTGTATTTCCATAGTTAGTCAAATCTGGTGAAACACACGTTACTTTCTGTAACATATTTTTGTGTAGAATACAACATTTCTCTTTTGTCAATTGTAAACTTATTTTGTTTCCTAGTTGTCCTGTGAAGAAGAAGAGACTGACAGGAACCAAAAATTGCCCTTTGAATCCCAACACTGAAGAATGGATTCTCTGTGCAGGTCAGCAGGCAGCTGGGGAGGTAGCAAGTCGGTATGGTGGCAGCCGTCCTGAAACTGCCATGTTAGAAATTCCCTGTGAAGAAATGGATCAGACAATGGGGGAACAGCAATGCGAGGTTGCTCGCAGGAAGCTTCAGGAAATTGAGGACAGGTAAATGCAGGGATTGAGTAGACTGGCTTTGCTGAGCTTTCCCTTTTTGGTGGGCAGTAAGGGGTAAAACTAGCATTTAGCAGTGTGGTAACACTACTGTAAGTCTGAGATCAACTTTGTGTGCAAGTGGTTTCTTTGTAGGCTACCTATGTTTTTATGAGTGTTGGGGCTGCTATTATGATCTGAACTTGAGGATGCAAGAGATGCTGAATAAATATGCTCTTCAAAATCATCATGCAGCATCAATGTACCATAATGGGTTCTTACACTCTTTTGTGAGTATCCAGAGCTCTAATTCTAACTCATGTTATATAGTCTGACTTGAGCTCAGCTTTTTTTCAACCAATTGCAGCTTGTTCTGCAATTAATTCTTCTAAACGCTCAGGACAGATGTGAATTTGTTAGTGTACAAATTAGCATGAATCAGAGATCTCTCTCTGCACATATGCAGTAAGACTGAGGTTCATCTTGCTATTAAATATCAGGTGGCTTGATATTGGGATGGCGGGGTGGCCACAGGCAGATTTTTACAGTCATTTAATAAACATATTGTGCATTCTTGTATTTGAAAGGTTTTCCAGCATGTTGTGTATATATCAGTTGACTGCAGTTGTGCTATTATTCCAGAATACTCTTAAAAAAAAAACAAAAACACACTGCAGACAGTTGTTAGAAAAGTCAAAATTAAAAAAAAAAAGATTTTTTTAGATGATTACTCAATTGATGATGCATGAAGAGATGCATTTCTCATAGGTAAATAAAGTAATAATGTTTTTTCTTTGTGATCTGGCTACACCTGCATTACAAAGTCTGCTTTAGAACTCTCAGAGGACTGTTCCCCCTCCTTCCCAGCTACTCTACTAAATTCTCTATAAAAGGTTTATCAAAAACAAAGGAGGTGCCTCCAATTTGTTCTAAATGCTTTAACTTTTTATGCTCTTAATCAGAGACACTGATGCCAAATCTTTAAAGATAAGAACTATATTCAGTAGCTTTTAAATAACTCTCAGAGTTGACATCTGAAGAATTAAGCTGGTGAAGTTACTACGTAACTGAGACTCACTCTTGTAATATGACTGAATTTTACACTTGCCCCGGAAGTGAATTTGTGGTATTTTATTTTTTTTCTTCTCAGTGTATGTGTGCATTGTGCACTGCTGGACCATGCAAAGATAACAAAGCTAGCTTAGGTACCAGAAGTGGCATAGCTGCTCAAGTGGCTTCTATGGTAACAGTCATTCTTAGGGTATATTGGCCCAAGAGAGACTCATGTTAACATGGCCCCGCTGCTTCTGGTACCCAGCCTAGGTCACCTATCTACACTGTATAGTGCAGTGCACGTAGATAGAACTGCAGTGGATGTGCCTGTTAACAGTATGCTCAATAGTGTTTATTTCCCTCTTCCCCCTCCATTCCTAGGATAATTGATGAAGATGAGGAAGTTCATGCTGATGGAAATGTTAGCAATCTGCCCACTCTTATCCTGTCAGATACCCTTAAAAAAGGGATGAAGAGGGATTTTGGTGAAGTCCTGACAAAGAAAATAATAGAGTCTATGTAAGTTCTGGAGGAAATCATGGTGCTATGTAGCTAATACATGCAAATGAAATGAGAGGCCTGGTCTTGTGTTTGTGGAGATGTCCTTAATTACTGCATGATGCAGCCAACATTGTGTAGCAGACCATTCATCTGGTCAAAAATAGGAAAAACTATCCTAATGTAAAACAAAATGAGTGTAACTATAGTGGTCATCAAGCTGTGTTTTGTACTCCTCATTTGTACAGAATGAAACATCTTGAATAAACAACTATATCCTCGTTTTTATATATGCGGGTTTCCAAAAGAAGAAGGTCCTGAAGTGTGACCAACAGTACTCATCAAATTTTGTGTGAAAGAAAATGCGTGGTTAGAACTAGAAGTAATGGAACTAGTTAAGGAAGAGGAAATTTAATAGTTGGTATATGCATTTTGGAATATAGTTCCAGGCTAGCACGAAGGATGAAGATATTCACTGGTCTTCTGCATTTAGCAGTTGTGATTGGAGAACTGTAATTTAACTGGCACTCCATCCCTTCTAGGAGCCGTCCTTCTATGGAGCTGGTGCTTTGGAAACCTCTTCCTGAATTTCTCACAGATAAACTGAAGCCTGTTTGTGTTAAGAACTTGAGGCAGCAGAGTACAGAAGGGTGTCAAGCAAAGCAGTTAACACCAAGAGCTGCTTTTGACCCACAGACTGAAATATTCCCTGAATCACAACAGACTGTCGTGTCTCCAGATATGTATACTAGTTTGGGAATCTCTGGGTGTGCAGAAGAAGAAATGGAGTTGTAGATGCAAGTCTGTAGACTGGAAGTGGTGAACTTCTGCTGTTTTTTGTTGCTGTTTTTTTGATTCTCTCCTGGTTTGATGTGTGAATCTGACTTTTTATTATTATTATTTTTCCTAGTAACAATCGTAAGAACATGGGTTGGCCAGACACAACTTCAGGAAACTTTAAAAAAAAAAAAAAAAAGATTGCTCTGTTAAATATTCTAATTTTTACTGAGAAAGCAACTCAAATACCTTTGGAACAAGAAAGCAGCTTTCCATCTTTGTTAATGGTGAAATGTCCTCTTAGTAGTCCTT